CCCGCCCCATCCTGCCCCTGACATCCTCTACACGCACGCGCGGCGCCCGTCCCCAGCCCCTTGCCCCCCGAACCCTGTCCCGCCAACACCCAGAACCAGGCCCAAATATACACCGCATCGCCACCTGACCCCTGCATGTGTAACCCGGCAACTCTTCCTGCACATTTCTTGGGTATCTTTACACTGTGCAAGACCATTGCTTGTGTTCGTGCTGGTACATGTGAGCGCGCCAAACACTTCATTTGGCAACCTGCAGTTTGTGGTGTGGCAAAGACACTCCTGACAGTGCGATTCCGTGTGGCAAAGACGCCCCTGGCAATGTGGTGGGTTGTGGCAATAGACAACCCCAACGGATGTTGTGCACACATCCTAAAAATCGGGCGCAGCATGATGGCAGCCCGCTGTGATAATCTTGTGCCTGCAGACGCGGTCTTCAGGCCTTAAACCAAGGCCAATGTGTGAAAGCCTCTGATGATACAAAAACCCATTTGTGACGAGGCCAGAGTGACGCAAGGGCTGGGTATAGCAGTCCCAGTCCCAGCACCCCACCCACCAGCCACACCCGCGCACCGCCGCCCGCCGCACGGACCTTCACGCATGCCCGTTGGCGCCGTTGACCGCCCCGTTGACCGTCCCGTTGACCGTGCCGTTGGCGGCGCCATTGGCGTGCGCGCAGCATGTGCTCTTACCCGCCAGCGTGCTGGCCTTGTTCGGGCCCGGGGGGATGTCCACAGACGGGTTGCCTGCATCGCCAACGAGGCAAACCGAAATGTCAGCCATCAATAATGCCACGAGCTGTGCTGTCTTCATCGTCCAAACGTATCAGCAGGTTTGCACCCTGCCCTGCTGCATCTCGCGCCCGGCCCCGTGAATGCTGAGCTGCCAAACCAAGAAGTTCCCGCTCACCCGAGAAGAAGCCGAAGGGCTTGATGTGGAACCCGGTGACCTCACAGGGCATGACAGGGAAGTCCTCCACGCGCACCTGGGGTGATGACGTCATCACATCCCAGTCAAAAAATAATTTGTTGGGGAATGCCAGGGCGGGGTGCTCGCGAGCACACGGCCGGGGCCGGCCGCACGCCCCTACCGCGACATGTGGGCACTCTCTCCCAACCCAACAGGCAACCCATGCCGGCTCGTCCTCTGGAGACCCGGCTGGCGCCCTTGTTGCGCTGGATGGACGGCTATGCGGCACAACAAGAAAGCCCGCAGGCGTCCAGAGCGCGGCGCCCACGCAAGATGGTGCCGCCGAGTGTCGTGCGGGTGACGCGCGGCTCACCACGTGGGTGACGCCAAAGCAGTACCAGATCACGGGGTCGGCGCCGGCCAGAGGCACGTCCTGGATAAGTAGCAAAGTCGGGTGTGACTGGATGAATACATTCAAATGCAACAATGGTTTGACGCAGGATCATGCAGTTACCGGCCCATGCCAGCGCCGGCCAGCGCTCCGCCATGAGGAGGCGCCTGCTGCGCACGCAGCAGGCAGCCGGCCGGGGCTTGAAAGATGCCAAGCATGTCATCGGGGGGCCTTGTAGCAGTTGGCAGCCGGCCAACTGGCATGCGAGCGGTGTTCTGCTATGCCAAAGTAATTGCGTTTGCAACCGGCGCCCTACCACACGTGCACATCCCTGTATTTTGCACCACCGCGGCATGCAGCAGGCGGCCACATCCCGTCACCCAGGCATGCAACACAGCCGGCCCACAAGCGTGTACAATCCAGATGTCAAGTTCCTGGCGCTGCCCTGCGCACCTTGCGCACTTGCAGCTGTGAAACGCCCACAGGCAGGGCTCTGAATACACACGCACGCGCACCCGCACCCACCTCTTTCGCGTACACCGACAGCCCGGTGCACTCGTTGCCGCAGTACACGTAGTCACCCGCCGGGAACTTCTGGGCGTCACTGTGCGGCGTAACCCAGAGGTTCTTGATCGCGAAGACGGCGCGGCCAGCGGTGTAGCTGTCGGGCGCGGACATCAGCGGTGGCGAGGGCATGGGGACCAGCTTGAAGGCGACGGGGGCGCCGCTCATGGGGTTCAGCACGTTGGGGTTTGAGATCTGGCGGGAGGTTTGAATTTGGAACGAGTGGGGTTGAGGGCGGGGTGAAAAAGAGACGGCGCTGTCAGGAATTGCGGCGGCCCAATCGGCTCATCAGCTAGCGCAGCGGTTTGTCCAAATGAGGGGTCCACCCCATACCTGACGCGTGCACAAGTCGTGAAACAGTGCACACTGTTGCACATGTGCAACGCGCCCCGTGCTGCGATCCAGTACAAGATTGCTCATATCGCGTTGATTTACGCACCCAGACGTGCATCAACCTCGCAAAACGCACCTTCCAGATGCGGGCCTTGGAGAAGTCTACGTCCCGCTGCGCCTCGGCCGTGGTGGTCAGCTTGGTCTCCTCGGCGTAGAAGCCCATGCCGCAGGGGTTGCCGGGGCCAGCCGGCATCGGGACTGCGTTTACCTGGGACAATTGAGTTGGGCTTTCATGCGTCAATGGATCCTAAGGTCGACGCTGAGTGGTTGGGTGAGGGGCTTGGAGCTGGTGAGCAAAGACTTTAAGACAGAAGGTGCGGCACGGAGCTAGAGGCGGCGGACAACGGGTTGGGCTGCTCTAGAGCAGGACATTGAGTGGGCGGGTGCACGCCTGGCAATCGCAGCAGAATGAGCGCCCTCGCACTCCCGTGCGCCTCAGCACCTCATGCCGGCCGTCGCCCGCGCCTCGCATCCCCTAAAGACAGGGCCCCACCCTTCGCAACCCTGCCTTCCTCTCCCTTTGCAACCCGTCCCGCCCCCCCTCCTCTCCGTGTGTGACACCATTATTTCCCCACAATCA